TTTTCAATAAATGTAACATTACTCCCTATTTCGTAATCTTATTTCTTATTATTTAAGTAGTAATATTTATCTAATTATCTCTTAAAATATAGTGGTGGTGGTACTACATGCCCTAATTAGTATATCAACATAGTTATAATATTGTCATTTTAAAATTATGACTCTATCCATTATACAAATTATAAAGATCCAAAATTTTTAAAATTATATCATATAATTTATTAGTATACTAATTGATATATCAATTAATGAATATAACATTATCCAAAATATAATATAAAAGTATTAAATTTTATTATTTCAATTAACAAAAAATCAAATTAAACGCCACATAAGTTTATCATATACTCCCTTAATCTCAAAATATTAATCTCTTATTCTATTTTTCAATGTCTCAAAATATTAGTCAATTTTCAAAAATTAAGTACAAAAATAATATAAATTTCTTATTTTGCCATTCTTTTAAATTTATTAACAACTTAAAAAGTACAATTATGACATTAATATTTTTAAAAAAATATACTACCAAAGAATAATTTTAAAATTTTAATTTTTTTAAAGTGCAATAATTAATCAATCTTCTGTGTAAATAAAATAACTTGAAATAAAATCAAACAAAATAAATAAATAACATACCGGATTTATTTATCGAATCGAATTAAAATTAAGATCAAGTCGAGTGTGTGACACTCTGTCCTTAAGACAGATTCGCCCCGCTACGGTGCTTACGGTTGAGTGGCGTCTATCTCCCAAGATACAATGATCTTCACAAATTTGTAGAAGCACTTCAAACAAATTTGTCCGGCGAACTAGAACCTTGTGTTCTATAACTCTCTGAAATTTATTCCTAATATTTTATATGAAGAATAATGCACTAAAAGAAAATGGACAGCAAAGAGACAAGAATTTCATACTGAATTTTTCGGATCAATCAAAATTGGAATGAGGCTGCCTTTATATAGGCTTTGTTGGCACCTATTCAATTTGAATAGAAAATGTATGAAGAAGGGACATACCTATTCCTTTAAAATAAAGAGACACCATGAAAGGTTTGCACCGTTTCATTCAAATGGAAGTTTGACCCTTCCTTTAAAACAAAAAGACACCATGAAAGGTTACACCCTTTCATTCAAAATGGAGTCTATTTCAATTCACAACTACCTCTTTATAAATTTTCCAACATCATGTTCTTCATAGGTAGCCAGTGGGGAAGATTGATGGTAAAGTAGCCAATGTTTTGGCTAGTCCGTTAGAGGGCCAAACATGAGTTGTGATTGGCTAAAATGCCTAACAGACCTCTTTTAACCAGTCTTTTGGAGTTGCTTATTGAGTTGTTTGGAAAGCTAGAAATAAGTTATATTATTTTTTTTAACATTTTTTTAGTGATTTTTTCTAAAAATTATACCATTTTTTTTAAAAAAAATTCCGGTCCATTTTGTGTAGTAGACGGATGTAAAAAGTAAAAAATAAAATAATTTCAAAAAAAAATTAAAGAAAAAATTAAAATAAGTCAAAAAAGAGTCTACTATTTTTTGTTTATTTGTCTTTTCTAGATATTTTTCTTGGAATTATTTAAAAACAATTATTCATTATTTTTTGTTCTAAAAAATTGAGTATACTTTTTAGAAAATTAAGTTTTCTTATTTTTCGTATTTTTTTTTATTTTCAGTGAATTTTTTCAAATATTTTACACAATTTTTATTTTTATTTTTTAGACACACCTAATCTAAATACACTTAAAAAGTATAATATTTGTGAATTTAAAAAAAAATTACTAAATACAAAAAATACAAAAAAAAAATGAAAATTCAATACAAAAATACAATGAATTTTTTAAAGATTTTCTTATAAATTTTTAATTTTTAAATATATTAATATTAATATTGTGTTTGGTTAAGAGATTTGGAAAATAAAAGATAAAATGTGTGTGAAATTATGTAAAATATAAATATATTTTATTTATATTTCACCTATCTTTTTCTTTCTGTTTCCAAATTCCTTTTTAAATCTTCCAACCAAATACAACGTAAGTAAATCTAAAAGTTATTTTAAAAAATTGATAAAAATAATTAAAAATATAAAATATGAATTAAAAATTTTAAAAATTGTTTTTGAATATTGAAATTCATTTAGAATTTAAAAGACTAATTTTTTTTTTAAAAAAAAGTCACTAACAAACAACGAAATAGAATCACCGGAGGTGATGGTTCAGTGGTGAAGACATTGTCTTTCCACGGTCACGAGTCAAGTTCAATTTACAAAGAATGCGAAAAAGTAAATTTTTCAATGATTCTCTTTAAAATCCCGTATTATATTCTGATTAAAACTTGACATGGCTTCGTAACTTGGCCTGATTGTGGGGATGATTAATGAGTCACTTCTTCTAAATTGAGTTAAATTAGGTTAACAACCAATTATACCGAGACCTGAAGCCACACAAACCATCCTTTCTTTTAAGCCCAAAAAAAAACAACGAAATAGAATCAGCAGGCTTTGACTGGACCTTTCTTTTTTCACCGTCTAACACGCGGGAAGCCCATGGTGGACTAGGGCCGATCTTCTCAGACGTATCAAAAGCTCCTATTTGACTGACATGACTCACTCTCTCTAAACCGTCCAACGGTGCAACCAAATTCACAATTGTGACAAACGAAGCATATATATATATATAGTCGTCGAAAGTTAAATCTTGTTCACAAATCTTCTCGTAACACCGAATCCTCCAAGAGAGAGAGAATCCAATTCCACAGATTCCATTTCCACGGTCCTAATTCCTCCGCTGATTCTTCACCTCGCACGATCCTCCGGTTCCAGAACTAGCCATCAGCGTAAGGCCCAATATATTCATACATATAATATACACATGCATATATATATATATATATATATAGAGAGAGAGAGAGAGAGAGAGAGAGAGATTGTGTTGAAGATTTGAGCGGTGTTGTTTGCAGATAAGAAATATTTTGGAGAGAATTTGAAGATGAGGTTGTTGAAGGTGGCGACTTGCAACTTGAATCAATGGGCTATGGAATTCGAATGCAATGTGAAGAACATCAAGGATTCTATTTCTAGGGCTAAAGAATCAGGTGCTGTCATCAGGCTCGGTCCCGAGCTCGAAATTACTGGCTATGGCTGCGAAGATCATTTCCTCGAACTCGATACTGTGACTCATGCGTTAGTCTGATTTACTTCTTACACATTCTTATTCATTTTATTTTATTTTTCAATTTCATTTTCTTCATACAATGGATAATTGATTCGATTATGTAACGACCTTGTTAATTGAAGAAATAGTTGTTCAGTATATTCATTATTTGCTCATAGGTCTATGCATTTTGCTTTTTATTTATTTAATTACGTCAACTATTTTATGATCAAATTGGCTCACTTATTGAAAGTTGCTCTACTCTGTTGCTCCTATTGTGAATTATGTTCTCCAAAGAATATAGGGATTATCAGACTTTACTATTCATTATTAAGTCTAGTAACTTAAAATTTTTAGTTCAAAATCTAAGCATTGAGGACTTATTCAGTGATTGGTAAATAATGTAAGCAAGATGACTTCTTTGCCATGCCCTTCGTTCCCTCACCATTGTCACCGCCGTCCATTGTCATGACCACCACATGCCTCGCCCTCCCTCTCGGCTACAACTGCAGCCTCAAATAATACTTGAAACACAACCAAATCATAAGTACTGACTTACTATCTGCTATTCTATATAAAGATTTATTACTTGTGGTCCCCTTGGTGCTTTAACCAAATGACATACTCAGTTAATTTTTTCAAGAATAAATCTTACACTGAAAATTATGTTCCCAACCATACTTTTCTAAATCATACAAACGATTAGATGGGTTGGTTGTTTCTCTTATATTCTTGATTGAGAAATTAAAGTATGTGCCATTAAGTGAGGATGTGGTGGTGGAATGGGGGAGGGGGCAGCAGTGGTAGTGAGAGGAGTTGCAGCAATAGAGGAGGGTTGTGGCAGTGGAAGGGAGGTTGTGGCATGAGAGAGAGGAGAAATTGTAGTGGCAGGGATGGAAAGGCATAACAAAAGTCATCTTTGCCCATATTTGTTGACCAATTTGTAAATAATTTCCCAATATATAGAAATTAGAAGAAAAAAAAGAAAAATGAAGAACTTTTATTAAACTTATAAGTGAATAGTTTCTCATTTATTTACTGAAGTGTAATAATCTCAAGAATATATACCAGGTGTCACTTATTGATTTCACTTCAAAGAGCCATATCAGTCTATATCGTCCATGTACATTAAGATGCCCACATGATAATTTCTTGTATTCTAAGTAATGAGGGCCATGTTTTAGTAATGACAATACAGATGTTACTTCTTAGTACCAATTTATCGAAGTGGTGTGTGTATACAGTTGTTAACGTTATGGAGTCCTGCTAGTGGCTATAATTCATTTTCTTATTCTGACTTTCGAAGTAATTCCCTTGCAGATGGGAGTGCTTAAAAGATATTTTACTTGGCGATTGGACAGATGGCATACTATGTAGCTTTGGTATGCCTGTTCTCAAAGGGTCAGAGCGTTACAACTGTCAAGTATTATGCCTAAACAGAAAAATTATCATGATACGCCCAAAGATGTGGCTCGCAAATGATGGCAACTACAGGGAACTCCGATGGTTTACAGCATGGAAGCAAAAAGAGCTTGTGGACTTTCAGCTCCCAAGCGAGATTTCCATGGCTTTGTCACTGCAAACCGTGCCTTTTGGCTATGGATACATTCAATTTTTGGACACGTATGTTGAAATATCTCCAATGCTGTCCCTTTTACTTTTGTCATGTTGCTGTTGTTGTGAATCTGTGTTGCCTATAAGATTGATTTTAAAGAAAAGTTAAGCATTTCTTCCACCCCAAGGATGCCCTATCTTTCTTTTTTCATAGAAGTTCTTTCATGAACAGTTGTAGAAATGCAGAACATCAGGCTGACTATAGTAGTACACCTTTTTGAAAAATCTACAAAGAAGAATTATGGGATATGCTATTTATATCCTCATTTTAGTCTTTTAGAGCCTAATTGTGTACTTCTGGAATTAGAGTTCTATTTCTTTCTTAGATATACATTATTTGCTGCCTTAGATCAACCTGCCATGCTTTTAGCATGCGCCAGGCTGCCTGTACCAATGATGTCCATACAGCATGTGGGATAGTTCTTTCATTTTCATGATTGATTCAGGCTAAGGCTATGATACATGTAAGGACAGCATTGGGAATATGCATTAACAGACTACCTGTTAGGAAAATTTTCTTTTTGTGATCAGCTGGTGCATGACGTACTAATTTTTTAAGAACTCATGTGCTGACAGAGCGGTCGCAGCTGAAGTTTGTGAAGAGCTATTTACTCCCATTCCCCTGCATGCTGAGCTTGCGTTGAATGGCGTTGAAGTGTTTATGAATGCTAGTGGAAGTCATCACCAACTACGAAAGCTTGATCTTCGCCTTCGTGCTTTTATAGGTGCTACACATAGTCGAGGAGGAGTTTACATGTACAGTAATCACCAAGGATGTGATGGTGGCCGCCTTTATTATGGTAAATAACTAGCCCTTAATTGACTTCTATTGTTTCCACACTTGGTGTACCCTTTCCAATAACCTTTTTTTTTCATGAAGTTTCTTTTATTACTTACAAGATAATCAAAAGATGTTAATTTTTGGTTTATAACTTCATCCATGGCAGATGGATGTTCTTGTGTTGTTGTGAATGAGGATGTGGTTGCTCAAGGCTCACAATTTTCTTTGAAGGATGTTGAGGTGGTGGTTGCTCAAATAGATCTAGATGCGGTATGCTCTAAGTTCACTTTCATAGCAATTTTATCTGCTGCAGTTCTAAGTTAGAAGGCAAGAAAGCTATAGTTCTTTACTAATGCTACTATTTCTATGTTCTTCAAGCATCTAATTTGCTTTTGCTATTGCATTGTTGGAGATTTCTATCGGTGCAACAAGCAGTCTAGAGAGCTGCAACTTATCCTTACAGAGCAAATAGCATTTCCTGTGATGAAAACATTTAAGAAAGTTTGAAATGCTGAATAACCATGTTTATACATTTATAAGCATGAAGCTTTTAGAAGACATTTTGTAAACTATAAATCATGATTATGTTTTTTATTTTATTTTATTTTAAATATGTACTGTCTGCATTGCATTAACATTCAATAAGACTACAGTGGATTAATTTCTACCATTGAGCAAACTAATGAAATACCTGAGTATAGGCATACTCCAATGGGAAAGAGCAGCTCAAAATCAGTCATTAATCCTGAAAGAAACAAAAGCAACACAATTCATCAACATGCATTTCTGGTGATTTATGGAGTAAAGCATGTGATGAGAAAGAAACAAAACATCCCTTATCTACTGCTTCCTTGGGTTTCGTTGTTCTCATCATGTTAGTTCTGCACTGTATCTCTACTTGTTTGTGGTTGGCCTCTCAGCTACCATTTACTTTTGCCTCTCTTTTCCTTTTGCACGTGATAGCAGAAACTATCGCAAAGTGTAGCATTAAGTTGTTCAGTAGACAGCTTCATCATCCGTTCATGCCGTTACCCATCCCATTGGTGGATAGAAATTAGTTTTCCCATATCCAAAGACAGCAAGCATCACATATCTCTTTGTCAGGATTAATATCTTTATGTTCGGGACAGTAATTCATGGTCTTATTCTCTCTCCGACTCATCTGGATAAACTCAATTATTTCTCTAATTGATAGAGCAAGAAACATCATATTTTACAATTTTCTTTTCTCCTCTTTCTGGCCCATATAGAAGTAGTTGGTTGATGTGTCATCTGTTTAATGTGAAGGACCTTAACTAATGGATTTATGCTGTTGCACTATTCATGTTCTATGATTGATTTTTGGCATGCGCTTGAGCCTTTTAGTGTTAATAGACTTCTATAAAGTTTCCTATGACAGGACAGGTCATCTATCCAATATGCTAATGCAAATAATAAAGACTTTTTTTATTATTTTAATTCACTGTATTTTGGACCTCTGTTCTGGTTTTATCAGCATTTGCACATTTAACCTTGACTTCAATTCCTCAACTCAATTATTTAATGGCAGGTTGCCAGCCTTAGAGGATCTATAAGTAGTTTTCAAGAGCAAGCAAGTTGCAAACCGAAAGTTCCATCAATAGCGGCACCTTACAAGCTTTGTCAGCCTTTCAACCTGCAAATGTCCCTTTCAAGTCCACTTGAGGTAAGTTCTCGGTCAGGAAAAGGTGATCAAATTAAAGTATTTGATGGCAATTGAAATTTTTTGGCAATCTATACGTTTCTAGCTTCCTTAGCTAGTAGTATAATTGTACTTATATTTAAGTGTACAATTTTTTATTTTTTTTTTTGTGCTCTTGAAATATTGAAAACATTATAAACTATCTATCTTATACGTTTTTTTTTCCACAATTGTTAAGTGGTATCATTTCAAACTCCCGTGCTTGTTTTATATTTATGTTACTTCTTGGAATGAAATAGAACTTTGCAAAAAAAAAAAGTGTAGGTTGTGTTCTTTGGTTATAAAAGCCTTGACTCAAGGTTGTAATGTTGCAATTTGTGGACTTAGTACTTCATAGTCACGTTGATTGTGGAATTACTCAAGTATATCTATTATTTGAGACTTGGAGAATATTTAGGGCCTGTTTGGGGAGACCCAAAACCGGTTCTAGGGACCAAAACTTAGCTGGTTTAAAACCTTTAAGTATTTGGCAAATGCATTTCGAAAGCATGTTCTTTGCTTGAGAAAGGTGCTCAAGACCTAGTTAAAATCAAACTAAGAAGCGGAAGCGGGCAATTTCAAAAAAAAAAAAAAAAAAAAAAAAAACAGATAACTTAATAGAATTGGACCTGACTTTGTCTTTTTTCATATTACCCAAAAAGCCCCTTAGATATAACATAACAGGATATCATTTTAAGGGATTACAGGTTATAAAAATTATGGATCTTGCTTTTTGGCAATGTGATGTGGAAAAATGGCCTGTGTCACTATTTTTTTTTAACAATTTGACAATTCTAGTGGCTTCTCTGAGCTGTGTTTGCATTGCTGAATATATCTATTGAATTGTGGTTTTGGCTTTGCATATCTAAACATCATTTATAATTTTTAGATTAGATATCACTCTCCTGAGGAAGAAATAGCCTTTGGACCTGGTTGCTGGTTGTGGGATTATTTAAGAAGAAGTGGGGCCTCTGGTTTTCTGCTTCCACTTTCTGGTGGTGCTGATAGCTCATCTGTTGCTGCTATAGTCGGCTGCATGTGCCAGCTTGTAGTAAAAGGTCAGTTTTTAGCCTAACATATTGTGGCAGTGTTCTAGTACTGTACCAAATAATATTCTGAAAATCAACTCATAATTAATTAATTTAGGTACTTCATATGTCTTTTTTATAAGTAATAGTTGTTGCAGGGTCAATGGACACAATAGCTGTTTTTTTCTCTGCCATGCTTCTCTCAATGGTGAATCATTAATGGCGTTTAGCTGCACAGATCCAATTTGCATAGGATAACTGATTGGTACTATTGGTGTTGTCTGGTAGCCATAGCAATTTAACCCAAGGATTTGATAATAATGTCTAGCATGTGTCTGTTTGACAAGTGTCAAACACCAATACATGACCTCTTGAGAGGTGTCAGTGCTCCATAGCTTACACTAGTTTCAGAAATGGGCTGGGACCTCCCCTCTTTTAGAATGACTTGGACATCCCTCTACTTCCCACTAGTTTAAGATTTTCTCTGGCAAATGGCAGACAGGCTCTAAATCCTAAATCATCCCTATGCTTTCTTCAGATAAAATTTGTTCGAAATTTTCTTCATAATATTGACCCTAGTAATTTTAAACATTCAAAGTGATTGGAATAGAGGGATGATTTGGCCCATTTTATAAGCCAAAAGACTAGGCCTCAGATGGAGCTAGTGGCAAAAAAGGATTTTGTGTAGATTACACCAAGTAATGGGGATAAGCATTTGTTCAGTTGAGCAACTGTGGTTTTCCAACAGTCCTGGGATGGTTTTCAGGAGCATCTTCCCTGCAAAGTTGCTTAAGTTATAATAGTGTTACTGTTACAGAGGCACAGAAAACAGCTATTTTTGTCCTAGAATCCTGAATTGGGTATATCCTTTTCTGATTACTATTCATTGATGATTGATGTTGATTTTCGCATGCAGAAATTGCAAATGGGGATGAACAAGTCAAAGCTGATGCTATGAGAATTGGCCATTATACTGATGGACAATTTCCTACTGATAGCAAAGAATTTGCAAAACGTATATTTTACACAGTATTTATGGGATCTGAAAATAGGTGGGTATATGTAAGCATAACATATGTTTTCCGCATATATTAACTTTTATATGTGGTTGATCCAATTCTGAATTTTCATTGCACTGACACTCATGTTCACAAGGCATCCTAGGTGCCCAAGATATTACTTTGCTGCTGCACAAATTAAATTAAGGACTTTCTTTTTTGAGGGTCATTTTTTTGCATCATTGCAAAACCTTTATGGTGACGATGGAAACTTTGCATTTTTGTTAATCATTTGGCAATAATCTGGATGCTCTTAATGTGGACCCTTTCTTGTGTTGGTTGTAGTCTGCAAATTTCAAAACACTTTCAGAGTTATTATTATTTATTATTTTTCTTTCAGTATAATTTTCACCCGTCTAATTTTAGCTCTTGGAAATAATGCTGCCTTTGTGGGATTATGGCCCATCTAAACCAAACCCGATTGTCCTCCTTGTTGGATCCCAGGAAGCTATTAAATTTCATTTTGTGTCCAAGAATAATTTAAGTAAAAATATTTTGAGTGAAACAAATTGATTGTTTTGCAACCATATGAATTTTCAAGTAAATTGTCTTATGAGTTTTGTAATTTTTCTTCACAGACATTTTGCAAATTCAAGAGTCTTTCTGTATATCATTGATCACTAACAGAGTCTGTTCATTACAGTTCTGAAGCCACAAGAACACGGGCAAAGGTGTTGGCAGATGAAATTGGCTCACGGCATCTTGATGTTAACATAGATGGTGTTGTTTCTGCTCTGCTCTCTCTGTTTCAAACACTTACAGGGAAGCAACCGCGTTATAAGGTAAAAGGGGTAAAAATATTGTTAATGTTTTCAAATTGTACCAAATTTGTTTTCTCATATGATGCACTAGATTGTAGATTTTGACTAGAATCTAGGCATTGGCATGTATCTACTGTCTATCTTTTCTAATAAATTTAAGATTAGTTCTATTTCCCATTTTGTTCATGAGGATTGAATGCATTGTAATTCAATGGCCAACTGGGTGCGACCAGTATCATATTGATCAGAATGATAGCTTTTTGAGTAAATGCTTTGAGCTGATTGTGTTTCCACAGGTAGATGGGGGATCAAACATTGAAAACTTGGGGTTGCAAAACATTCAAGCTCGAATAAGAATGGTGCTAGCATTTATGTTGGCATCCCTCATGCCTTGGGTTCATAACAAGCCAGGTTTTTATCTGGTACTAGGTAGCTCCAATGTGGATGAAGGATTGCGTGGTTACCTAACAAAGGTATTTGATATAGCAGATTTTTGGTTCTTGAGCAAACTACCTTTTTGTATTGCTGACCTTGATTACACCAGTTATTTAATGTATAAAAAGGAATAGTTAATATATGACTCCATGCAGTTGGGTTACATATGGGAATAATTTGGGGATATTCTTCAATGGTTTACTCAATTCATTACTCATAAAGGGTGTTGATAAATAACTTGGTTTTATGTTTTTCCACTGCATCTGGTTCCATCTTTCTTTCATTAGTAGCCTTTATCTGTAATTTGCTTGTTTTCCTTACGAGAACTGCATTATTATTATTATTTACTTTATTTTTTCTTCCTTTTTTTTCGTTCAGTATGATTGCAGTTCAGCAGATATAAATCCAATTGGAAGTATTAGTAAGCAGGATCTTCGTAGATTTCTGCGATGGGCTGCCACCCATCTTGGATATGCATCTTTAGCAGAAATCGAAGCTGCTCCCCCCACTGCTGAATTGGAGCCTATACGGTCCAACTACAGCCAGGTATTGAATTAAGCTCATTTCTATATTCTTGTCCTTGATATTTTGTTCTTCTTGTGTGTGCATTTCTTCTGCTGTCAAATTTTATTTCATTAATGCATTGATGTTCTTGATGTTGACGGCATGCAAAGCTTCTTTCAAGTTTACATTTTTGTTGGTTATCATCTAGAATCAAAAGAAGTTCCTAGACTTATGTAGGTCAAAATCTGTGCTACATTTTTTTTTTTGGGTGTGGAACAGCTGGATGAAGTGGACATGGGAATGACATATGAGGAACTTTCAGTCTACGGAAGGTTGCGAAAGATTTTCCGCTGCGGTCCTGTATCCATGTTCCAGGTTTGTTTTAAATTTCCTAATACTTGAGTAAGACCTCAAAATAGAAAGCATCATCATTATTTATAAGCTTCCATACATGAAATCATTCAAAGGATATGTTTAGGTTATGCATGCATGAGTTTGACGTATCAATGTATGTCATAAATATAAGTTTGACATTAAAAATTATAAAAAAAAATTAGAAAAATTCATTGTAAATAGAAGTCTTGGTATATCACAAATGTGAAACTTTGACATTCAACTTTCAGAGGATTAATTGAGCTTGTTTCATTATGCATGATTAAATATATAAGGTTGTCGGCTTTAAATTTGTTCATATTTTTTTTTTTTTTTGGTTACGATTTCATCTTTCAGAATCTCTGCTATAAATGGGGTGCAAAACTGACTCCATCAGAGGTGGCTGATAAAGTGAAGCACTTCTTCAAGTACTACTCCATCAATCGACACAAAATGACCGTGTTGACACCTTCCTATCATGCTGAGGTATCTTGATAAACAGCCTAAGTTAAAAGAATCAAACTTGATTCCATCTTGGGAATTTCGTTCATAAAATTTTCCTACTTTTATGTCTAATAACGAAGCTTATACCTTCTATTGTTTCATGTAGAGTTATTCACCAGAGGACAACCGGTTTGATCTTCGCCAATTTCTATACAATGCGAGATGGCCGTATCAATTTCGAAAGATCGATGAACTTGTACGCAAGTTTGATGGTGAAAAAGCTGTTCTCACAAAATCAACCGACCAGGAAAAAGTGGGTGTTACATCTGTTGGTGGTATGGGAGTTGTGGCAGCAGGCTCAGGCAATCCAAAAGCTGGACTTTAGTTTGAGTTGATGGCTGCAAGTTCATAGTTGAATTCTTTGGGTGCAAATGAATTTGTCTATTCACCTTATGCAGTGTTTGTTTTATTTTTGTTTTTACACAATTAAGAGGAGAATAGGAAGGGAAACTGCTTCATGCAGAGGAACTTTTGACTTCCCTCAATTTCTATTGTAATTCATCCATTTTTAACAGAATAATGTCATCTATGATTTTTAGTAATAAATATGATTTCCATATAAATATTAATGAAGGACTTTGTTCCTGTGAATTTTCGGG